ACAGCCCTACTACTAACACTTGAAAATATGATAATAATAATAAACCTTTGCTTGGTTTTAAAATGAGAGAAATCATGACACTAAAAGTGGTATTGGTAATTTTGATCTCTTACCTTGCTGTTGCTGAGTTGACTGGATATTAAAGCCTCCGAACCCTCCAAGACCAGTTGTTCCTAAACTCGTCCCAAATCCTGTTGTTCCAGGCGCGGTTACAGTGCCAAGCCCAGAGGAGAATCCAAACCCTTTGTTCTGTGTGTTACCAAACAGGCCTCCTAAAAGAGAAGAGTGTGCCAGCACAGTGAGAAAATATAATCCACAGTCTACACAAATAAACTGCCGGTTTTGCCGAAGGATCACCGCAAACTGACTCATGTTGGGGTGGAGTGAGTGAGACATCTTGTGGAAGCTTCTATGTGTGTTGGCATTTAAACACAAAGCTGAGCATGAGGCAGTAAATAACAGTTCTGGGAGGATGGTCAAGAGGACTGAGGGATATAATAAAGCTTTTTTTTCTCCTATTACCTCCGCCAAAGATGAAACATTTTCGTCTGTCTGTCAGCAGGATTACGCAATAACAATGATTTCCACAGAACTTGGTGGAAGGATGTGAGATGTGAGATGGGCCAACAAAGAACCAATTAATGTTTGGCCACAATTCATGGATCTTAATGAAAAAAATCTATATATTCAGGGGACTGATCTCTATGAGTGGGCAATTTGGTGGGACTGTGGACCATGGGCTGTGCTCTTCTGAATGTCACTCTAATTAGTTTCCTCACAATTTTATTGTTTTTATTACAAAAGTTTATTGGAAAGTGCCATGTTGTTTGATACCAATTATACAGAAAATAGAGGCAATGTTGCTTAACTGTCAAGAGTTTATTTGACCTTAAAAACTGTTTGAGTATCATTCAAACAATTTTTCTAGTTTAAACTTATTCCATATTTTATTCCAATCCTCCATATCACTGAAATATCACCTAAATTAGTTTTCATTCTACATGCTTTAAGTTTTCCTAATCTCATAATATCTTGGTATGAAATATAAAGGGAGCTGACCTGTGGTGTTCGAGGGAGCAGCAAAGCTAAAAGTGGACCCTGGCGCAGCAGCAGTGGTTGTAGTCGTCCCAAAGCCACCGAATGTGCCTGATAAAACAGAGCAGATCAAGTGAAATGAGACAAAAGACGAGCCACAAGAAGAGGCGAGAGAAGGACAGAATGAAATTGCTGTCTATCTGATGTCAGTAGAAGCGGGAAAAAAATCATGATTATTCAGTTTCAAGAAAAGTTTAGTTTCTTTCCATTTACCACTGTTCTTCTGTTTTACATGTCAGGTGAAAATTTAGTGGCTTTCAAAAGCAATCAAATGAAATTAGTGCATTATTTTAAATTTTGTCTCTTCATGCAAATGGAAACAACAATGCATCATGTGTTATGAGATAAATCACTGAGTGAGATGAAAAATCACTGCACCACAGAGACGTGAGTATGGATGAAAATGTGTGTTTACAGACACAGACGGTACAAAGTAATCAATCAAAGGTCATCTACCTGTGCTAGCCAGGCTATTACCAAAATTGAAAACAGTGCCAGTGGTGGTTGCTGTACCAAAGCACCCCACATTAAAGCTGATTGCTGCCGGGTTGGCATTTAAACCAAACCCCCCAAAACTAAACCCACCAGCCGTGGTGTTTCCAGCTCCCAGCCCCCCAAATCCTGCAACCAGTGCAGGCAGGCAGCAAGAAAGAGAGAATGACATGGAGGAGTAAAGGTCAGGACACCAGGCATAATATGGGCTTAGTAAACAGCAGTTGTTAAGTGCCTTAAAGATACAGCTAAAGAATTTTATAAAAAAACATGTGCTTTATAAATAAGCTGTATATCTTACCAGTGTTGGTGGAGCCAAAACCAAATCCTGTGGCTGGTGCAGCAGCAGTGGTGGTGGCTGCCCCAAACCCAGGGGCTGTAAGAGCTTCAGAGAATAAACATTTTCATTTGAGTGAAACAAGTAAACTTTGTTTTAGCAAGTAAAAGAAAATGGGCAACATCTAATATGACAGCAGTTTCGGTTCAAACTGTTTACATATCTATTGTGACAGATATTATGCTGTATTGATTTTTTCTCAGAAAATACATTTATAGTGTCAGTCTTATTATCTTCACTGAAAGCCAACTATTGTATGGGGACAAGTATATATTGACATATCTGTCAAAGCCAAATAATATTCTCCATTTTCTATTACCCTGTGGAAACCAAAGAGCCAATGAATACAACCTACACAGATAGAATACATCATGTTTTTCCATTCAAAATCACAAGCAGCAAACAATTATTTTTAAAATCTCATATTAATATCTGATAATTTCAATAACAATATGCATTTATTTTAGAGCAAAAACAGGTGAAAGACTAATGCAGCTTTGCATCAATGACCATCTAAATCTTTAAGATGAAGCCCCTGTACAGAAATGGTATTAACATCTGTTCTGGGTGATCAGATTGTAAGAGAACAGCTTTTATTACATGTGTCGCAACACATTTAAATGTGTCCTGAGTGTGTCTCTTGTGTCACTTGTGATGGGATCTCACATGCTCAATATGCAAATAATTACGACTGTAATTTATGAGCTGACAGATGTGTCCAATAACAATGTTTCTCTGTGAGAGAAAGAGCGAGGAGTAAGAAGGGGCTGAATGAATCTCTAGCAGCTGCGCTATGAAGAAACACAAATTTAAGAAAAGTACCAAAAGGTCATTCTATTCTGACCATGAACATTGAACATAACTAAACTGAGAAGCGTCAAAATACATTTGATCATTGATTTGAGAAAGTGTAGTGGGGCAGAGGACGACAGCTGAGTAGGTGATCCTTCATATTTGGCCCAGGACGGATTTTGCATTTACACAGCGAAAAGAATGTGACCATGTGTCCCACACCAGCTTCCTAAGTAGTCTGAATGATCAGATCTCAGGACGCAGTGAGGACACAGATGGGTGCAGTCAGACCAGAATTTAGTGTTGACCACTTGAGATCAGATTACTCAAGACACCAACTGCACATCTGGTTAACTCCCAGCTGCTACAAATGTTCTTTGACCCAGTGGATCAGACAGAGCCACTGGTGTGTCTCTCCGGCAACTTCTGATCGACATCGCCATGCAGGCCGTGATGACTATGGGTCACGAGTGAGCGGAGGAGCCTCTGGCAGTGAGGATCAGGATCAGGGAACTGGACTTACTGCCAAATCCAGATGAGGCTGTGGTGGTGGTGGCTGCGGTGCCAAAGCCAAACGCTGTGGATGCTGTGGTCTTTGCACCAAATGAACCGAATGAAAACCCGGGGGCGCCTTTGTAAGGAAACAGAGAGTGCCGTGAATGCTGGGCATTCTAGGACAGTACAGCTACAGTGCAGTGTTACACTCATCTCTTTAAAATCAACAATAATCCTTAACTTACATTGATAAACATTAGCTCGTAAGCTAGTGACGATAATAATTTTGTTGCTGCTCGTGATTAATTGTTTGTTGCTGATTGTGAATGTTTCTTGTTCTCAGGCCTCTCATGGAAAAGAGATCTTGATCTCAATGCGACTGCCTGATTAAATAAAGATAAATTAATCCAAAAAATAGTGTTATCCATAACATCTACGATAACGTTGTATGAATAACAACATAGGTTAACTAGCCTACTTTAAAATGGCATTTTTATAACATGTGTGGCCTTCGCAAGAACACAGATGATGCTGTGGGTACTGGGTGTTATAAGACAGTGCAGCAACAGTGCAGGGATTCTATCATCTTCTAAAATCAATAATGAACATTAGCTCACATTGATCAACGCTAGCTCATAAGCTAATGCTGGCCACAGCAGCTAACAATGTATGAATAATAATAATAATAATAACAGCTAACTTGTCCACTTTAAATTGAAAACGAGCCACTACACGTGTGGTTATACAGTAAACTTGACGTGTCTTCACTTCACAGCGAGCATGTCCCGTGAAGTTTATCATTAGCCGGTAGCTGATGTCATGCTACAGCAGCTGGATGTGAGCTAACGGCTAACTGTTTACATTTACCGATTATGTAAACACACCAGAGCGACGCCACCTACACAGTAAAAGCGCAGCATGTCTCCAGCCTCACTGAAACTCTCTCCAATGTATTTAAAACCCACTCACTTGACGCTGTGCTGCCCGCGGCACCGCCAAAATTAAACGCCATGTTGACAGTCACCGGAAATACTTCTTCTTCCTCTTCTCTTTCCTCTTGAGTTGGTGCAGTTAAGATTCAGCACTCCGGCGCATCAGCGACCCCTGTGGTCAGGATGTGAGCGGTGTCCACAAGCTACTGCAGGAGTCAGCAGACCCAGGGCCGGCACACGCCTTTGTGTGGCCCTTCAAGAAGAATTTAACGTAAGGGGCCCTCTGCTTCGGGCACCACCAATACCACAGATTATTGTCAAAGTTTGATCATTTGCACACAAAGTGTAAATCTAGCACATTAGCAACTTTAATAGTAGCAGCTTTGTTAATATGACAGAGGTTAATCTGACTGTTTACTGTTTATTAGGGTTATCTTTACAATACAGCAACTATCAATGGGAAGCCTGCCAGGTAAACTCAGTTTCCTCACATCTACCCCAGAGACAGTCAGTGAGCTTTATCTGTTAGTTTTACCTCTGACTGAATTGTGGAAATGTTGTGTTATCACCTGAGGACCTAAAGAAAGTAAAACTGCTTCGCACAAGAAATAGATCTCCTCACATGCAAAAGAATCCACAACCCCACTAAAATAATAATGATAATAATAACAACACCAATAGCAATAATGATCTATTAATATTAAGGGTAACACTAAATAATAATTATTAATTTATTTAAAATGTAATACAATTTTATTCAGCAGTGCAACTCGAACGATTCTGCAACATTCTCATATATTTCATGTCCCAGTTATATGTTAAAAAGCACTTAAATACAGAAATTATTAATAATATATCCAGAACACACATTTACTGAAACTACTTTTATTCCTCGTGTACACAGTAAAAACAGTATTAACAGTCAAAGCTTGAAAAAATGGCTGACAATCAGAATAATACATGATTTTTACGATTATTTCTGAAAGTACAATCTGAAATCAAAGTATGACACAAAAAGTGCTGTGTACAAACTGTACTCTGCTTTCTGAGTTTTGGTTTTTATCAGTGTAGCAAAAATATCCTTTTTACCACTACATTAATACTGTGTGTGTTTATTTAATCATCAAAATGATTGATTCAAGCTGTAAAAATTCTAATTCATTCAGTTTTATTATTGTGCATACTGTTAAGTGAATTAAAGTACACATCGAACACAAATAGTAAAATCACACGAGGAAGCAAAAAGTCTCTCAGTGAAATGTTATAGCTTCTCCACTATTGTTTGCAGCTGAAGTAACTTGCTCAGAAAATGTTTCAACTATAAAAATAAGCAGAAATAAACACGGACCTCATCACAGTTAACATGTAGGAACTCTGCAGCATTTTCTATGGCACCTGACGTGAGATATATTCCGAGTGAGACAGCTGCGTCTCTAAACGGCGATAAACAGTTCGAGCAAAGTGCAGTTCGGCACTTTTACTACACAAAAGCTTTAAAAGATTCCAAGCACCATTTTTGTTTGGCTGGAAGAAACGATGTTCACTTGAGGGTAGATCAGTTGGTTTGATGTGGTGTGCTTTTTCACAGAATATGTGAAAACCATAAAGGCAAATGTGGCACAATAACACTGATTGTTTCCAAGGCACAGCTACAGCATTTCTTACTATTGAACAATCACAAGTTTTTGAGTTACTACTGCTGAACACATGAAAGCTCCTGCAGTCGTCATTACACAATAAAAGATAAAAAAAGGCTTTAGTGTCACATTCAGCACCAGAGATGCTAGTAATGCAACAACAACAGCATCATAAAAGCACATTTGAAATGATAATAAGCTGAATTACACTTAATATGGCAATGACAGTTAGTGTACACTACTGTCGTGTCACACATAAATTCAGAATCAGCCAGAAAGCCTGTAGTATTCAGGGCTCCAGATGATTGTTATATGGCACTAGGAGACATTTGTGAAGCTCTAACTTAAAATATCCTTCATTCAACACATTTCTACATTAACATTAACAAACACAAAGAGAAGGATGTCTTATTTTACAAATATTGAAGTATCCAAAATATACAGCGTTTTATCAGATATTCATTCCCGTCATTCAGTGAGAGGAATGTGAGCAGTTCAGGGCATCTTGCACTTTATATATACAAACACATGCCGCACTCCGAAGGGTTTTCAGGTACGACGACAACGAAGAGCACATGTATCCCTCGAAGTAGAACTCACATATAGAAAAATAATAAGAGCCAATAAAATGTTACCTTGAGGCTGAAATGCAAGTGAATGATAATAATAGGGATTGATTTAAAAGAACACATGCTATATGTGTTTCTCCTTTCTCTTGCTGTGACAATATGGAAGCAGAGGACCCCTGAGAGTGAGGTATGATATCCAAAAAACACAAAACATTATGGATTTCATAACCCTGGTCCCAAATCACCCTCTATGCTCTTTTGTGTAGTAGTCGCTAATATCATTATAACATTTTGGCAAACAGAGAACAAGGTGAGGCTACAGCATGAAATATAATCATCCAACGTCTCAGGTTATAAAGGGCGTGTTTTGTTTGTTTAGGACAGAAGCAACTTGTCTGTTCTCCATCAGAACTGCATCCTAGACCATAGGCAGTTCTCTATGAGTAAAACTAAGTACATACAGCCCTGTGCGTATCAGACCATAGACTGCAGTTAAAGATGGATGACGTCACTTTCTCCCACTATCCTGAAATGAAGCAGAAATTTCATGGCTGAGAACAGCACTGTAGCAACTGGGGGTATAGAGCTGCGGTAGCACACACTCGACCAATAAGTCAGTCTCAGCTGTCAATCATAATGTTTCAACCTATTTTATAGCATCGAATAGCTCATTTAAACCAAACTCAACAGAAAAAAATTCGCAAAACAAAAACCAGCGTGATAACAACTACTTAAAATGACAGAAACCAACTTTTTAGTTTGGTACATGTAACATCCACTAACATGGAGGAGGCAAGGATTTATGACCTACTCTGCAGCCAGCCACCAGGTGGCGATCAAGAAGCTCTGGCTTTGCTAATAGGGAGCTGTCATGTTGTCCATCTTTATATAAAGTCTATATTTGAGACTAAAGCTACCTTCTGCCCTGTTCCCCCGCCCTGCCCCGAAAGTAAAATAAACAGATTTCCAATTATTAAAACGATTTTGTCTTTTCCATGGTGGATATTTTTTGGCTCTGCATAAAACCCAAATCTCTATTTGTAATTCTGAAGATTGTCGATGTACACAGCTTCTCTCTAATCATCCCCTCCCTCCTTCCGCTCAGGCTTGTGGGTCAGCTTTAGGTGTCAAACCAATATACGTTCCGTTATTGGGATCATCCTTTTCCTTGTCGTTGACTGGAGAGTAAGAGGTGTCCTCGTCAGCAGAGGTCTGTAGTTTTAGATAGAGGATAACAAAAAGTATTCGAAAGATTAAGGATAAAAACAAAACAGCATTAAAAGTCTCATCTCACTTGAGCTTTGGAGATGATCAACAAAAGGTTTATGTCCTTGAACAAGTTTTTTACAGCACATTATGTTAAAATGTTAAAACCAGACACAATGTTTCCGAGAAGATGAAAGTCATCTTGCTGCATACTGTACACATTTAATTAAAGATGTACAAAGATACATAAGTGATACTTTAAGTAAGACAAAAGTGTTAGTTAAATAAAATAAATATTATTGAGGCAAAGTAACTTACAGCATATTGAGCCTTGGTAAACACAATGCGCTTAACTTCATTCTGCACAGACACACACAGTGACAAATACACATGCACAGGGCCATTAGTGTGCGGTTAAAGCAACTGAACGAGTTACACTAAAATGAACACTCATTAATATTTATTAGAAACAAAGCCAGTAAAGTATAAGTCATTAGAGTGAAATGAGATGAGGAGGTGTGGTACCTTCTGTCTGCGGGCGAGGACCAGGAGGACGATGAGGATTAAGAACATGAGGACACCCAGGCCCACGATCATGAGTGGGAAGTTGGACACTACATTGACAATACTCAGAAGCTTGTGTACTCTCGCCGCAGATGCCTCGTCTATGACCACACTCTGTGTGTTAAAAGACAAGTCCACAGATTGTCATTAGGTAGGATAAGATTAGATAAGATCAGAAAATCCTTTATTGATCCCTATAGAGGAAATATGGTTATTACAGCAGGCCAAGTTCAGAATAAACACTGCTAGAAAAGAATGTAATAAAAATAAAATAGAATAAAATAGAAATATACATAAGTTTAAACAATTTAACACTAAGAAACAATTAGAATTACCACGCCGTGGTTATATGATTCCATCAACCACTGTAGTTCAATTCTACATACATTTTATTTCCAGACTTAATAAGGTAAACTGATAATGTCCCATCAGTTAGAGGACACTTAGCGGATTTGATGTTTCTTTCTTACCTCATTGAGGAACATGACAGGGAAGATTGTGTCATTCAAGCCTCTTGTTTTCCTGTTGTGAGTGAAATGAGTGTGATGCCGTCATACATTAAACAGCTAAGACTCACACTTACAATACAGCAGCACTGGAGAGATAACAGTGCTCTGCTTGTGTTTGGGTGCAGATACTCACGGGAATCCAGTAATTCTGTTCATCAAGACGTTGATCTGAGCTCTCTTGTTTGCACGTACAATCACTCCAGTGGTCTGTGGGCAAATAAGAAACCGTGGGGTTAAACATGTGCAATACAACAGACTCACAACTCAGCCATCTTGCGCATTTGGAGTCTGCGCAATACCAATCATGGGATGGATCATGACCTATACTGCCACCAACAACCAGGTGGCGATCAAGACACTTTGGCTTCATTTTTGGGGACCTGTCATGTCGTCCATCTTTACATACAGTCTACGATCTTTAGAATAAAATAAGGATATTGATGACAACAACGCAGATGATGTAGTAGAGCTTCTATGCCACTAGAAGGTGTAGCAGTGCATCTAAATGCATGAACGTACTAATCTTTGCTGCAGAATTAAAAGCGCTCATGAGGCCGATCACCTGCGGCCCGCTGACCTTACCGGGTTGAGGTCCAGGAACGTTTGGTGATGCTGTCTCTGTGGGGACATCCCCTCGATGGCAGCCACATATTTATCATCCCCAAGGTAGAAGTGGGGAAAGGAGGCGACCACCGGGGCACCTGCGTGAGGAGGAGGGGGAATTCAGAGGAGAAACAATATCACATTGAAATAAACAAAGCATGAAAATGACATTCACGTAGTGTCGACTGTGACAAATTGCATACTTCATCCTCTGTGACACTTCTGCCCCATCTTTAATTACGGTTTGATGAGACATGAAAAAATGACTGTGACAGGAGGGACTGGAGCTGACTCCTCAGGGTACAAGCCATCAGTTTGGCTAATTCAAATATTAATTAGTGTACTTATGCCAACATACATATCATCACGTCACACCCAAACAATACTAAGATGACCTCTACGGTTCATCTGAAATGATTAATTATATCGTTAACAATATCAGTCTTAATTAATATGCTAAATGTAAAGCAAGGATCATCAGAACCTGTAGAAGTTTCTATATTATGCTTGTCTTGTTCAAAATGATATCAGTGTAAAGAATTTTGGTCTTCTAAGCTTTTTGAAGAACATAATGTACTTGAAGAAGGAACCCCCACCCCCACTGCGGTCCCGTCTTTCTACTTTGAATAACGTGGTATTGTTTACGCTCCTTCCGAGAGAGCGAGACACACACATACAGAGAGAGAGAGAGAGAGAGATAGAGAGAGATAGACGTCGCAACCCTTTTGAAAGGTGCACTGTTGATGGTATGATGCCAAAATGATTATCAACACATCACTTTCACTGTCAATTTTAATATAAGTCCAACAATAGAACTAAAAGGAAATGAAATTCCAATGGGATTATAGAGAGAGAAGATTGACAGCCTTAATCTACACAGTCTCAGGGAGAATAAACACTATGACGGAGCGACTCAAAATCCTCCCCTGTCCCTATCTGCCACCGACATTTTCATCAAGTTTCACGCTTCCTGCTGTTTCATGTAGGATCTTATCGGGTCCCTGGAGAGCCCTCAAAAAGAGTCCCCGGGATAAGATGACAAGATATAAACTGACCTTAATCTTGAGGACACGAGTTACCCTGTTACCTAGGGTCGGTCTTTCTCAATGGAAATAAACAATGGAACACAACCCCCGGCTATGTCAAAACATGAATTAATGACTTCTTGCTGAGTTCCTTCCACATATTGTCAACGGCAGACATTGTATTTCTACACCATCGTATTGGTCGCAATAAGCAACAGTGCGCTTGATGAAGACATTTTTGTTGAAGTTCAACCTCTGCATATTTTGGACTACGTAACTCTGATTGTCGTTGGTCCAACTTTGTGTGTGTGTGTCAGCAGCAACAGCAGGGTCAGACAGTGGCACAGTTACGAGGTGGTGTTGCTGGTGCTGTTGAAGTGGGGCAGAGGTGAGCGTTTTCCTGCTGCTGTGTTTGGCAACTGACGTTGGTCAAAAACATTGGACACCCGGAGTCACCTGAGAGGCTGTTCCTGTAACAACCTTCAAGGTCACCACAGTGCAAACACACACACGCACACATATTTGTATTGGTGCATTTAACAGCACCATTTATCATTGTGTTTATTCCTAAACACCTGAAAGCTGCACTTAATCTTCCTCACTCTTTAAATCCACCTTGTTTCTCTTGACTTATACAGGTTGGCGCTGTGATCATATTTTTATATGAGTGTCCGCGCCTCTTTTTAACCCAATAAGCTCATGAATACTTATGTGAACTGCAGCCTTTGGTTTCCGCTTGTTTCATTATGCAATGAAAATCAGCTCGCACGCACAAATGCACCACGTCTGTTTTAATCTCTGTCAACGTTTTTTTCACGCAGTTCTGCAATGAGCAGTTTGCACTTGTCAATTTGACCTCAGGTTCAGAACAAAAACGAAATTTGACACAAGAAAATGAGATGTTACAACCTTCTCTTGATACCCAAACAAACAAAGTAAAACTACAAGGTAATAAAATACATACAAAAATAATAATCATTAAAGTATAAGTAGAAAACAAGTGCTGGTGCTGTTCTATGAGAGGGAACCTGAGGACAACTGGGAGGCACTGAGACAATGCCTGGTCATATTCAAGGACAGAATCAGGTGACAGGGCTTACTGCCCCCTCAGCTACCAGGCCAGTCATGGTCAGATGGCGCCTGAGGTGTGGAGAGAGCTGTGTCACATGGGTCATTTAGGGAGTATTAGCTGCACTGGTGAAAGTGGTAGAGGAAAACTAAAGGAGGACTTGGAAGAACTACTGAGTCTGTTCAAATCAAAAGTACAGAACAGATCAACAAATATCTGAGATCTTAAGCAGCTTTCAAAGTAAAGTTGTGCTTCACTATAAAGGTCAAAATGAGAGTTTTGTGTAGGGTGCATGAGATAAGGGAGAAAGGAGAAGAGATAAATACTGAGTTGTGTCAGCACAGACTGTGTGTGTGAGGCATGTAGAAGGGTAAAAGTTGAGAGGAAGAGAGAGAAAATATTTTGCAGAAGCTGACATTTACCGTTCCGACAGGGGCTGACTTTAAGGAGGCCTGTTCCCAGGCACTCCTTAGGGGTGACACAGAAACCCTCATTGGCCGGGTTCTCCTCCTTGCTGGCCATGACAGAGCGTGGTGGTGTGAAGCGGTATGCTTGGATTCCCTTCACCTCCACTTCTTTTTCAAACTCCATGTAGATCGATCTGGAGACAGTTCAACAGTTAAAGATTAATTCCAATGTTTTACATGCTTTTATAGTCCTGCAGGAATTTTAATAGCAGGGACTATGATTACATGGAAAACAATAATCTGACTACAGACCTTATTCTGAATATGACATTATTCTGATTATAATGTTTACATGAGTTGCTAATAGAACATTCCATTCACTCTCTGAATTATTATTATCATTATTATTATGTTTAAAAATTAAGGATATGTGTATTTAGTTCATGATTTCATAATAAACATTTTATTTCCTGAACTTAACTTCCCTCTATAAAAATACTTTTACTCTGTTAACCTTTGCTCTTTTTTATTGTTACAAATTGTGAATCACAAGAAAGTGAACTTAAGCTCTGAACAAAACTCAGTCTCTCATTCAAAATGTATCACTGACTTTCAATAGAGAGAATGGATGATGTGTCCGGACTTCACCTCCATGTGGAAATCATGTTGGGGGGGGTTCTAAATTCTAAAATACATAGTGGAATTAATGCATGGTGTGATTTTGACCTTCCTTTTGTACTGGGAGTGGAAATGCTATTTTTTTATTTATTTATTGTTTTTACAGCTCCAAACAGAATCCCATTGCTGTCAGCAGTTCAACCTTGTCCTGTATCTGCTGCTCTGCCCTGTTAAGGGAATCCCGACAATTCTCAGCGAGAACAAAGGGGCCTTTACAGCGTCTGCCAACTGGCCGGGAGGACTCGGCCCTTAGCTACGCAGCCCACCAATTGTGCAACAATACTGTACAGACCTTTCCCTTGACCTTCACTGGAGAAGCCAATTGAAAAGACTGATGTGTTTCTTCACCAGTGCAGGACTGAGAGCCCCTGCTTTGTGCTGCCAGGCATGAGAGACTTACAATGTCAGGTAATGTCAGAAAAACGAGGCACAAACATGCTTCTTTTGGACGTAAATCACTTCAGTGTGTAGGCTCAGCAGATGACGTGAGATATTTCTACGACAGATGCAAGGGGACATGGGGAGATGTCATGTTGTATGAGTAATATCTACAGTTGTTTGCTTTAGAAGAAGCACAGTGGTCTTTGTTGTTGTGACTGATTTCAATTGTATGCATGAAACCTTGTTTTTAGCTTTATTATTGGTTTTATTTAATTTCATTCTTAATTTATTGTATTTGCATGTCCAGGGTCCACGTTGAGTTGATGCCCTGTCAACATGAATGGGGATATTTTCAAAAACAACGGTTTCTGTGTATCTGTGTATATCATGTTAAATGGAGCATCAACGTCACAGATTACTTTGCATGTGCCCAGTGTTGCTCTGTGTAATGAGCATGGGCCAGAAACAACAACAATGGTGTCTATAAGTCAGTTTCTCTACGCTTGGTTCGCAATGTGAGGTCGGGTTCTTCTCTAATGTTTGCAAATCATTGATGTAGGCTTTATCGCCACCTACTAGCCCGGCATTCTCATTTGAACATTTTGAATCGTTTTTTTCGACCTTGTCTGGATGGAGATATTTAGTAAAAAATGTCTGAGTCTGTGCTGTTTGTTTTGGTTTACTTTTTTTTTAAATGACAGAATAAAATCATGCTTCTGTTTTATTGTTGATTTGTTGTGCCGCATATTTTTGAGACTAAAGATCAGGCCTTCAAGAAAGATTAACGTGTGGCAAAAGGCAAGTTGGTATTAGAGCGATGACACCTGCCTGCAATAAGTCAAAATCTTGAGGTTTTTGTGTCTCAGCTGTCAGTAACAGGGTCACAGATGGGAATTCTTCTTGCACCTTATGTGTCCTGCAGATCAGTCCCAGATGTCAAATTTAAACACATGTTTCAACGCTGCTCTTACTGACTGAAAACCCATGTGTCGAGCTGAGTGTGTGTGAGAGTTGAGCACACATGACTTCATTGAACACTTCCTCTTCGTATAATGGTCAAACGTAAAGAGAAGAGGGAGGCTGCCTTCTATCTTTAGTCACAATAACACCAGAAGCAGTGATGAAGCCACCAGATGATGGAGAAGTAGGTGAAAGGATTCTGCAAACATTTGGGAGAGGGATTTTTGACACCAGTCCAATCAGAGTCAAAGGCTACAACCATGTCAGTCCAGTGGATTCTTTCCATGCTAAAACAAAGATGTCCACAGGGAGCTATTTTATTGAGGTCAAGGTTATTTTGTAAATTTAAAGCTCTCATCATGTGTAGAAACCTCAGTAAAGCCTGCACATTTATTTCAAAACAGCTCAACTACCCAAAGAAAGTATTCATCAGTTAGTTGTCGTGTGATACACTCTTTAAAATTCCAGCTTCCAAGATATCCCGATTCTCAGACCCTCCATACGATCCACTTTAAATCTAACTGTCCTCATGAGTATTAGGGCTGAGCCTGAGTGGGAGAAGTAATTCTGAGATGTTACTTCCCCATTGGAACAGCTGGGTGGACACATTTAGGCCACTTTACGAGAAAAACATAATGAAAATAGTGTGTTCATCATAATCATCTGCAGCTTCTCTTTCCCTTGACTTCCCATGCACTTCAATTGTTGTTAGCAACTGTAATTTTAACTCCCACTATTTTTTTTCTGTGAGCCTCTCCATTCTGTGTTTACTGGAAATTGACATCTTTCAAATAGATCTTATAATATAGGCAGAAAAGCTTCTGTGAGAAAACAGAGGTCACCTGTGGAGCTGTTTGTAAGTGAGCAGGATATTATGACTAGAATCCATGGGATCCAAAGCCTGTGAACATACCATAGCTGATATGAAAGCTCCCGCCCCGCTCTGTGGGGGGCTGAGTCCAACATTTTAAGTTTAGGTCATGTACCAGATATAGGCATCACTTCAGAACTTTAGGCCATGAGGTCACAGTGGGACAAACACAATGCAAGTGGAAACACTAGAGCTCGATCAATGGCCTATATGAGATTTGTACAGATCTATTT